GAACCCGGGTCTCTCTGGACCGCAGGCCGACGCTCTAACCGCTGAGCCAAACCGGCCAGTGCTTCATGCTGGTTTTAAAAACCCTGTTCTCTTTGCCTCTTGGTCTCATCGTTTGGAACAGCCAAGAATGGTTTCCTGGTCGGTAACAAATCAGAGGCTCCAGTCACCCGCCCCCCGCTCCTAGAAGCAGCAAAATTAAAGAGGTAGCTGTCACAGGGAGAAAGGGGGCCTGCTGCTGAACAGAAGAGAGGGTGGGGAGAGAATGGGGGTGCCAGAGGCCTGGATCCTGTTTCTGGAACCTTCCACCGTACCTGGAAGAACGGGGTAGGTGGAGGGGAAGCATACCTAAGCAAAGTCAGCCGCGTCTGAGGTGTCGTGCCTGCAGATTATGCCTGGTCCATGCAAGACTAATGGGGAACTCGGAAGTCCTGGCTGGGCCAGGAGACAGAGTGAAGACAGGGATATGAGGCAGTGTTGTCGGCCGGACGGCAGCACACACTATGGTGGGACAGACACCAAGATTAGATGCAGGCATTGGGTTGGGTAGATTTTCAGAACTCTACTCCCCAAACCCTATCTAATAACCACAGGAGCTGTGCTTACACTTTGAGCTCACTCACCCTCTGCTAGCTCCAGCAGACGCCTGTCCCTGCCCTGGCTTCCCCCCACCTGAGCCCTTCCCCCGACCCTTCCCGTAACTCTCTGCTAGGCCCTGGGGTGGGAGCCCTGGGAAAACTGTCACCAGGAAGAGCCAGCGGCACACTGAGCACACTGGATGTTGGCCGCCTGCCCCTGATGACAAGCACACCAGGATACAACCATGGGACAGCCCTGGAAAGAAAACTTAGGGTGGAGTAAAGAGGAGAGTGTGGGCAAAACTGAAGTCAGGAACAAAGTTTGGACAGTTTCACGAGAGGGATTTGGGGGGACAATACTCAAGCACAAGTGTTGATACAACCCATCAACGGGCCTGGGAACACCGAGTTCCAGCAAAGGGCCAGAACGCAAGGAGACGTGTCCAGGAAGGGCACTGCCCCTGCAAGGGGCAGGTGACTGGCGGGGAGGGTGCTGGCTTTCTGAGCCCTGCTGCTCTCAGGCCTGCTGAGCTAGCCCTTCGGGTGGCAGAGAGCAGAGCAGAGCAGGTGAGAGGAGCTAAGGGAACACCATAAAAGCCCAAGGCAAGCTGGAAGCAAAACCAGATGAGATGACTGTCCTTGGTTTTGCCAAAAACTCCGCTCTCGTTCCAGGAAGCTGTGGTGCCACAACACGACAACTCCGGGAACTTCTGTCCCGAGGAGCCTCTTGCTAGAAAATCGGGCTTCCACTCCGTGTAACCAGGCTGGGCAGGCCTTCCTCTTTCCCCACTGTTTACTTCCCAAATTTCACTCCCCATCCTCAGGTACGAAACCACCACAGTTTTACGCTCTGGGGAGATGCCGTGGGGGCACAGCCTGAGTGACCGTGAACCCGGGCCCCTGGCAGACCCGGTGCTGGAGGTGGGTGGACTCAATGAGCTGCCCTTGCATCTGGGTGCAAGGGCTGAAACCGTCCTGAGCTTCCCCTGTGGACATCAAGTTTGGGGCAGAAAGCATGAGCTTGCTTCAGGGCCAGAAGAGAAGCAAGTGGGAGAAATACCTGCGGTCACTGGCTGGCCAGATGCCAGAGTTCTACCCTCTCTTGCTGTGGCTGTCCCCAGGGAAAGCCCCTGGGCTAGTCCTCCTTCCACCTGCCAAGTCACAATATTAATAATCAGGCACTCTTCTCCGCACTTCCCATGTATTAACCCAGATCATCTTCAAGCCCATTTTACAGATGGGGAAATTGAGGCAGAGAATGGCTAAACAATTAGCCTGAGTTCTCACAGCTAAACAAAGCAGAGGTGGGATTCGAGCCCAGCTCCAGAGCCTCCAGTCCCCCCTAGCACTGCCCGAGGCTGACTACAGGCTTCGCTGAGGACAGTACCATTTTCTGAGTTTCTGCTTCTGGAAGCCTGGGACGGTAGAGGGAGAGGAAGAGGAAACAAGAAGGATGTAAGATCCTAGACAGATCACCAGTGAAGTTCAAAATGGGTGTCAGAGCTACCAAAGGCTTCAGCCTATTCTGGAGACTAGGTTCCATTCTGAGGCCAAGGTCTGGCAGGATCTGCACGAAGGTCCTCCGAGGACACAAACTGACCCTCTCTGGACCACGGTGGCCACCTCGCAGGGCCTCAAGGCATGTGCCATTCAAAGATCCCTCACCAGGACTCACATTGCCTACAGCCTCCCTGACTGCCAGCTGGCCCCAATGCTGCTGGGACTCTCAGATGGCCCAGCCCTGCAGCCAAGAGCAGTGGCCAGCATGCAGGCTGCCCAGAGAAGCCTGTGCCTGGAGCAACAGCAGCCAGAATGTCTGGAGCAACCGTTCCACACAGGCCAGTGGGCAGGGGAGGATTTTAGAGGGTCTCAGATGCTAAGCAAATCCCAGCTGGTGCAGGGGGCAAGTGAGCTTGGGGAGCGAGGTCAGTCCTGGCACAGAAGTTCCCCAGGGCTCAGCAACAAAGGGCACTCTGTGGATGGGCCCACAGGCTGGGCATCCCGTGCGTCGCCTCAAGGCTCTTCCCAGACCTCACGTGGCTGCCTCCCTGTTGTCATTCAGGTCTCAGCTCAACTGTCACCCTGCAGAGACCTCCGATCTCCAATCCAAAACAGCCTCTGTCATATCATCCCACTTTATTTTTTTTCATAACACTCTCACATTCTGATATTTTGCTATTTGTTCACTGTCTAGCTCCCCAGTTAGAGGGAAAGCTCCACAGGTCAGGGGCTCTGTCTTGTTCACTGCCAGGTAACCTAGCCTAGAACAGTGCCTGGCAATAAGACCCACTAATGTCTATCAAGTGAATGAATGAATGAATGGGCCCAAACAGGCACAGGCCCTTAAACACTGATGAGGGCAGGTATAAACAGCTACCCAGCTCAGCCTTTCTATTCTCCGCTTTTTAAGAAATATAGGCTTTTTAAAATGCTTAATTCTAGCATTTAAAATATCTTTATTATTTTTTCTGATTACAAATGTAACATGCTCACAGCTGAAATTTAAACATGACAGAAAGGGCCCGGCTGGTTTGGCTCAGTGGTTAAGCATCGACCCATGCACCAAGGAGGTCACCGGTTCGATTCCTATTCAGGGCACATGCCCAGGTTGTGGCCCAATCCCCAGTGGGGGTGTGCAGGAGGGGGCCAATCGATGTTCTCGCACATCAATGTTTCTCTCTCTCTCTCCCTCTCTCTCTAAAATCAATAAAGAAAAAAGTATTTAAACATTACAGAAAGGAATCATCCACATTGTAAAGAAAGTCACCATTAATGGTGTGTTGTATATTCATCCAGATTAAATTTAGTTTTAAAAAAAAATCCATGCATCTTAGAAAGGGAAAGCATCCATAATTCCACTAAACTAGCAACTATTATTTCCCCTTTGCAACCTTCTCTCACACATTTATTTTACGTTACCCTAATATACTTATTCTGTAACCTGACATTATCACTTTCTATATTATCATCATTGATTTTCCAAGTCAGTATATCATCTATGTGCTATTATCCTAATGGCTGTGTAATATTCCGCAAGTAGAAAACTACTGTTTGCGTAACATAAATGTTCAACAAAGGGAGAACAACTGTTTCCATCTCCACTGTTACACCGACACCACAAGAAACATCTTTATGCCTATAACGAAAGAATTCAGCCCTTTTCTTCTCTGGGACTATTTGTCCAGAGGTGGGATCACTGGGCAGAGGGGACAACAGTTCTAAGGCTGATGATGTCGATTGCTCTGGGGAATCTTGTTATGTGGGGAAGAGGTCTCCTGACTGAGTCACCGAGTTCCCACAGCGGCCTCCATGGCCATCTCTCCGCCCCACGCCACTCCCCTGGTCCAGGCACACTCACAGTGCCCCGGCCACAAACCAACCCCACACGCTTCCCGAAAGACCCTCCCGTCACCAACTGATTTTGCAAACCCAGACTCAGTGAAAAACAGAGTCTAGCCCTGGGTTTAAACGCTCAGCTGGCAGTACAGTCGAGCTCCACCTAAAGCTGAGGACTTCCTGGTTACTCTTTTGCCTCCCTGCAAACTCCTCCATGGAATCCAAGGCTCCGGCTCCCAGGGACCAGCCAGCTGCTCCTGAAACCTTGTCCAGGCAGGAGTGCGGAAGCACCTGCCCTGCCATCCACCTGCTGTCCAAGGAGCTCTCTGCCTGCTGGTCCCATGGGCAGAACAGCCTCCAGGCCGCACAGGGCTCTGGGGCTTGGGAATGCAGACAATCGTCATTTTTCAAAGCACTGTCCAGGAAAAGCCAGAGGCCAAGGCTGGAAAAAAGGGCCATGTGAGGGCAGGCGATACTCCGCAACTGGGGGCCTCTTGCCCGTGGAGCTTGTCTGGACTGAAGAGGAGACACAGCTAACGGGACAAAAGCAGCACACACCCTGATGGCCAGTTTTATGGCAGCTCAGGTGCCACAAACCCCTCAGCACCCTGTGCCCTGGGTGCTCTACCCAGGGTCACGGAGACTGACCATGGCACCCGGGCAGGGTCGAAGCCCCAGGTGAGGAACAATTCCTATGGCACAGAGGTGGAGCCCAAGATTCAAACGTCCGTGAGCCTACAGACAAGGAGGGTCTGGGAGGATGCATCTCCTGCGGTGGGTGTCTTACGGCACACCTGGCGCCCATCGCAGTCCGGCCCAGTTGTCTGGAGGCCACGTGGCTGTAAGGTGGTTCCAGCAAAGGGCATGGCCAGCAACTGCTGGACACGCCCCTCCCGTTCCTGCCCTTTTCCTCTCTGGGACTATTTTTTAGTACATAATTCCAGAAGTGGGACCACTGGACAGAAGGGGACCACGGCTCTGGCAGACCCGTGGGCGGAAAGCAAGCTCAGAACCAGGCTTCCAGACTTGGGCCCGTGCTCCGGAGGCAGGAAAGGCTGGTTATTCCCAGGGAGCCTGTGACATACTCACTTATCACACCCTTGAGTGCACAGCTCAGAACAGACATCAGGATCACTGTCCAGGAGTGTCCCGGGTTAACCTTTGTCCTGGTGCCTGACTGGGTGACGGTGCCATTCTCAGTAGTGTGGATCAGCATTAGTCCCAAGGCTCAGCTGATCCTCAGCTAGTGGGCAGATGGCTTCCATGTGTCCCTGGGAATAAAAGAAGAGGTATTCTTTAGCTTAAGCTGTCCCCAGCTCTGAGCCACCAGGCAGCCGGAGCAGCAGCCTCGAGGCAAACACCACAAGGCCCCAGCTCCAGGCTCAGCACCAGACAGACACTCATCCCACCCAGGCCGCCTGACCTGCTCCTGGAACCTGCCACCCCCTGCAGGCTGCTGCCCTGTTTGCTCAGGTCTGGTTAATCCAGCGACAAGAGCCTGGGATCCATCCCAAGTCACATGTGGGGCCAGGACTTAGGACTCCTTTCACCACGAGGGAATGTGTGCTCACTTATAAATCTGAGAGGGGATATATTTTTACAATCCAGCTCCATTTTCATTTAGCTTCAGATTACACTCTCCCTTCACCCTGTCGTGGGAGCATCTGCTCTCGAGGCCGGTTAAGAGCTTCACTGAGGACAGGCCGCGCGGCACAGGTCCTAGCATTGGGGGAGTCAGAAACAACACAGAGAAACAAGCACACCATCGGAAATATGTGCTGAACTCTGCCCACAACCCCACTGCCCTGAAATTTATTTCATTCTATCCTCTTATCACTACTGCCGTCGAGGCCCTTCCAATTACCATCAGTCACTGACTACAGCTGGGAGAAATCTGATTTTATAACTCCCTTGCCACATACATGTCAATACATCCCTGAGACTTGACCATGTGATAGAGATTCCCACGGTTTTTGTTCTAATATGGAGGTGCTGAAGCCTCCTGAAACCCCCTGAACACAGCACCGTCTGCACACGGCCAAGGACAGGTTGGCACGGCCCTGTGGAAGGATGCACCAGCCACTCGGAAGCCGGGAAGAGTATATTGGCTGGGGGTGAGAGTTGGCACCATCTCCTCATGGATGGCCAAGCAGGGTGGACCACAGGGAGGCCACCCCATGCAGACACCCACAGTCACCTTCCTCCCTTCCCCACCCCAGGCTCTCTGAGCAGGGGTAACTCAGGTCTTTGCTCCCCAAGCTGACAAGTTGCAAGGCGGCGGGGGAGCTGAGAAGTGAACGGGCAGGGGTCGGAGACCAGAAATTCACTGTGTGCACATGTGCTGGTGCTGGAGACGGTGGTCTCCCCTGCACTGAGAGAAGTGAATGGCAGCGGGTACGATGGGCACTGGGCTCCTGGGATCTGCCTTGCCTCGGTCCCACCCGTCCAGCCCTCCCGTCTTCCTGCCTGCCTGATGGGGGGTAAGGGGTCACCAAGGCACATACCTATCACCTCGAGAAAGGGCTTTAATGGAGCATGGTCGGTACCTCCCTTCCCCCAGCACCACCATGACCCTGCGCCTGGGGAGTTCAATCCCACTCACGGGCACGGGCACGGGCACGGGCACGGGCACAGGCACCCTAAGCAGGCCACACCAATAGAGTAAGTCAAAACTGAAACAGAAACCAAAGCCCACATCCTGGCAGCACAGCCTGCTGGTTGCTGCAGTCAGCCCCGGGAGCCCAGCCCACTGCTGGCCGAGGTGCCACCCTGCACAGGAAGCTGCAGCCGCCAGAGCAGGCTCCCTCCCAGGCCAGCCTCGCGCCCGACACCTCCTGCTTCCTGGCCTTCCCCCAGGGGTCCCGGCCTCCGCCGACACTTCTGCCTCTTCGAGTAGTCCAGGGTGCGCAGGCATTAGGCTCTGCGGGCTGCGTGGCCTGGACCAGAAGTCTTTAGGGCAGCGGTTCCCAACCTGTGGGTCTCGACCCCTTTGGGGGTCAAACAACCCTTTCACAGGGGTCGCCTAAGACCATTGGAAAATACATATTTCCGATGGCGAGTCATAACAGTAGCAAAATTACAGTTATGAAGCAGCAACAAAAATAATTTTATGGTTGGTGTCACCACAACATGAGGAACTGTATTAAAGGGTCGCGGCAGTAGGAAGGTTGAGAACCACTGCTTTAGAGGATATGAATGTGTGAGGAGCCCTGATAACAACTAACATGTGGGTAGAACTCAGACCTTTTTTAGTATATCATCTCCCAAGACCCCCTCACTCCCATTTTAGAGGTGAAAACACTGAGTCTCAGGATATTACGAACTTAGGCCAGATGCACACATTGGATTCAAACCCTAGTCCGCGGGCCCCGCAGTCACCCCTCTTCCCACACAGCACGCCTCCAAACTGCTTGAGACCCGAGCCTCATCCTTAAGGCCCCTGCTGCATACACACACTTCATTAAGTATAATCTACTCAGTCCGTTCTGTAAGCTGCTTATTTGTAAACATACCACCGAGTCTCTCCAGTTTCCCCTCAACGTGCCAGATGCTGCTAGGAGCCCGCAGGAGCAGAGAGACCACCACGTAGCCTCAAGCCCTCTTGACCTGCCCTCCTCCGCAGCCCGCCGCACCCACTCCTCCTCCAAGACTCTCTCCCACTTCATTCCTCGGGTGATGACGTCATCTTCCCACAGTCCCCCATCGCTGATGTTCCCACAGGAACATCCTTTGAACATCCTTCTATTAAAACATACTCTCCCATCTTAAAATTATCATGTGTCTGTTTCTCTCTCCACATAATGAATTCCCGAGTCCATGGAAGTGCAGTTGGACAGACAGACAAGCAAGGAAGAGAAGGGCCAGCTGAATTCTTGGGTGACTGCACCATCCGGTGTTATTAACCAAACGAGGGATCTTCTCTCCTTTCTCAGGCCAGCATCCTGGAAGGGCATCCTCCCACAAAGCACCTGGCATTGGTTTCAAGGTCAGGGCTGCCTCTGCAGATGGGGGAAGGAAGAAGGGTGCCCACGCTCCTTGCTCCTACCGCCAAGAGCCATCACCTGGATTGAGAGGTGCAGGTGGACGAGGTGGGTGCCGAGGGTCCAGACAATCCAGACGACATGTGACATGAGAAAGCCTGGGGCAGGATCAGAGCATCCCAGTCGTCCCCAGAGATACTTCGGGCTCCACGCTTAGGTTCAGGCCAGAGCATAACAACGTCTATTCTACTATTCTACAATGTGCTGGCCCTCTCAAAAGGCACACCCAGTTTTCACGCAAGTAGGATTTATTTCCCAGAGAGGTTTAACCAGCAGCTACTGGCAGGAAATTCCCTCTGCATCGTTCTCTCTCCTCCCCTATAACTATGTAGGGTAAGCTGGGTTTGCAGGATTGCATCTCTGCTTCTCTGATCAGAACCTAAACACCAAATCTACCCTACCTCCTGCCCCCATCTCTGTGGCCTGGAACCTGAGACTGGAGCCAGGAAGCAGCAGGCAAAATACTATCTGTCTCTCCCACTCTCCTCTTCCTTAACTCTCCCCAAATCTCCTTCACCCCACGACCCACAAAGGAAAGAGAGGATGCCCCAAAGGCCCACTGGGGAGCCCTCTGGTTACTCAAAGTTCCCCCAGTTCTTCCCATGTGACACAGAACAAATCTTTTGCTTGTTTGTAGTAGGTGGATCTGGCAACTTCCCAAGCCAAGGAGTGACCACACTCAGCTACAAATGCAACGGGAACTCCAAATCGCCCTGGGGAGCAAGGAAACCCGGGCCCTGGGGACCTGACTGGCACAGGGAAGGTGGGTGAAGACAGGGATGGCCTCTACTTGACCTTGCCCTTCTGCTCTGGGCCCTCTGCCCCAGGGCTTGGAATATGGGTTCCCTGTCTGCCAGACAGCTCGCCACCCCGCCTCTGTCTCACCTGGAGGCCACCTGTCCTCTTCTCCCTTCCTCCTCCCGTCCAGCCCCCCTGTCTTTACATGCCCCTCCCAACGTTCCCTCTGCACACACCCTGACAGTCCAGGCCCTGTGCCGTGGAGGGTGGCCTCTGGCCCATGCCCCTGTCCTTTCCCTCCCACCCACCTCCTGGCACAGGGTAACGGCCTGAAAGGCTGGACAGCTGCTGGGCTCTCTAATGAGCTGCCTGGCCGCCGTCCCAGGGCGAGGCGTGTGTTACTGTAAAGCGCTGCCTCACCTCCCCTTCATCAGTAATCCCCTCTGCAGAGCCCATCAGGTGGCAGCTGAGGGCCCTGGAAACCTGTCACGTGACACCAGGAGGCTTCTCCTGCCAGCCGCATAGGGGCAGGCAGTGGTCTCACGGCCTTGCTGACACAGTGATCAGACGCTTATTTTTCTGGGTTCTCCTCGTTATTGCCATGTACTTAGGGGGTCCACAGGTTACTCCACCACACTGTGCCTCCAGGGCAGTGGGGACCCTGCCCCTCAGTTGCCTCACGAGTCGAGGCAGAGAGAAGACCAGTGGGTCTTTCAGAGGACAAGCTACCTCAACAGCATGACACCCGCTGCCCTACTTTTCACAGCTTTCTACAGCCAGAGATTTCTACCCAGAGATTTCTACACAACCAGGAGACCTAGACCAAGAAGTCCTGTGGAGGTTCATTGGTTTACTCGAGGTGCTGCATTCCAGTCGTCAACAAATATCTACTGAGTCCCCGCTGGAGGCCAGGCTGTGTACTTGGTGCGAACAAGACAATATTCCTGCCCGGTTGAAGCTCACAGGCTGGTGGGGAGACACACAGTAGGTAAACCAGCCGGCGCATACTGTAATTCCTGGCGCTGGGCCGCAAAGAAGGGGGACGAACAGACAGGGGACACACAGAAACTGGATGTCAGAGAGCGAGCCTTCAGCTTCCATAGGGAGGTAGCAATTGGGCATAGATCAGAAAGATGCGAAAGGCCATGAAAAGAGCTTTGGGGAAAGCATTCCAGGTGGGGGGAATAGTCAGTGACAAGGCCCTGAGGTAGGAGCAAGCGAAAGAAGTCTGAGAAATAGCAAGGCCAGAGTCGCTAAAGTAGGTATAACTAAGGGGACAGACGTGTCCCACCTTTCCTCGCAAAAGTCTTCTGGTGGTCTCTGCAATGCCACCTGGGCCAGGACAAAGACCCCAGTTGCCAAGGGAGCATGGCCAGTCAATGAAGAATCCCCCTCCCGGCAGGGGTGGAAACAGGGCCTAGTCAACTATCGTTCTACACCGTGCTTACTAACAAATGAAGGGAAAGGGAGATCAGATGACTGATGGCCTGCAA